ACCAGTCCTATTTGATGTAAACTACCACCCCAATCCCTGTGCACCATGGGTCTCCCCATTTCACAAATGGCCCAGTTGCAGTTTTATCGACACAGGGCCTCACAGTACAACTTAAGGCAGCATTTCCCAAGCAGTGGTCTATGGGACTCCATTCAGTGGGATGTAAATAGATATTCTGTTAGCATAGAGGGGGAAAAAACACAGCTGGCAACACTTTTTCTTTAATTTTATCTTTTAAAATATTAAAAAAATGGAGTAGTATTTTACATAGGGGTCACCTTCTAAAGTCAGTACTTAAGGTAAAAATCATGTCTTGTTGGGCGCCTGAGTGGCTCAGTTGGTTGAGCCACTGCCTTTGGCTCAGGTTGTGATCCCAGAGTCCAGGGATCGAGTCCCACATTGGCCTCCCAGGTCCACGGGCAGTCTGCTTCTCTCCTCTCATGCTCTCTCTCTGTGTCTCTCTCACTTTCTCAAATAAATAAATAAAAATATTAAAAAAAAAATCATGTCTTGTCAACACAAGGTTGGTAAAACCTTGAGTTGTCCACAAGGCACAGCAAACAGACCTTCTACCTTGCAACAAGTCCATCAGAGCCCATTTTTCCCCCTCCAGTTCTGGAATAAGTCGCCATTTTTCCAGTTTTGCTCCAGGTGAAGATGAAAGAGGTGGTTTATTTTAGGGGACATGTAAGGTGGAAAGTGTGTATCTAGATTCATAGGTAGTGTGGCAAGATGGTTACTCTGTCGAAAGCATGTGGGAACAGACTGGCAAGGATCCCCAACTTGGGGACCCCATCTCAAGCCTGGTCCGGGGCACCCATTCACTTAGTCATGTCTCTCCAGGCTCCCATGGAACACGCATTTCTGGGTTTGAGGGAGTTAAATGTGTGGAAGATAAGATTCCACCTTGTGAGAGAACAATATCATTACAAGTTGCTCTCATGAGAATCTGTTCTTATATATTGCTTTTAAGAAATCGTGTGCCAAGAATATCAGGAAATCACGTCACCTGTTTCATGGAACCGTGACGCATGATCTGTGTGTTGGGTTGGGGGCCAGGGAATGCAGGAGGAACAATAGAAATGACCGCCAGGGCCGCCATCTTCCAGCCTCCCCCCCTTCCTTAACCCTTGACTCTCCTGCCAAAGGGTGTATGCCCAGGTCACGTCTCCATAGGTAACCCGATACCTATGCAGGAAACAGAAGTATCAGGACCCCCCACCCCATACCCTCCGATCACCAAATACCCTACCATATATGGATGTGAGCCCATGCCCTGCCTTGGCCCGATAAAAGACCCCCACCGACTCCCTCCCAGTGCGACTTCTCCGACTCTGCTTTCCAAAGTCGTGGAATGTTATGCCCCAATAATGGGTCCGTGATTAAAGGAGCGAGACTGATACAAAGGGAAGGTCAAGCAAGAGCTTTATTTCACGCCAAGCATCAAGAATCAAACTGGCCAGCCAGGGCCGCGCCTCTTAAAGAGAGGGCGACCCCCCTCTCCTTTACGGACTGGCTTTTAAGGGCAAAGGCCATGCGGTTGGGCCTGGCCACGCAGAGGGGGCCAATGAAATTGTAACACACAGAAAAAACTGCACAGTGTTGCTAGGTGACCAATTGAATTACAATTTCACCTTGGTTAGGATTGGCGCCCAAAGGGCTCCCAAAGGGCGGGGCCCATACGCCTTGGTAGCTAGGGAGACAGTATGCGTCCCCCCACTGATCGGATGTCTCCACCTGGCCTGAGGTGCTTTGTTACCTGAGGCTGGTTTCTAGGACTTGTTTTTAAGTAAGTCCCCTGGGGGAAGGGGAGCAGGGACAGTTTAAGGGTTAAACAACAAGGTTATTGTTTAACCTCAATGGAAGTCTCTGGCTAAAATATAAAAATATAAAATAGGTCCTTACACGAAACCTCGACGGAGGGTGCCCACCTCCTCCCAGCGTGACTTTCCTGGCTCCCCTTCTCCTGAGCCCTGAAACTTCGCGGGAGATGCCTTTAATAAATCTTGCATTGTGCCCACCTTGCCTGGTGTTGTGTTTACCTCGCCTGTGAAACTTTACACTATGTACTGGTGCTTAAAGGAGCATTTTCTAACTATGCTCCTCGTCTTCAGTTCTATGATATCTGGCTTAAGTAACGTGTCTTATTTTAGAATTTAATATATGTGTTTATTATTTAGTGTTTGTCACATAGTAAACATATGAATCAAATTGCAGTAATCCTAGTAATATTATTAATAAGAAGAATTAACACTTGGTGAGGGCTTGCCGTACACCAGGTATTTTTCAAACAACTTTACATTTAGTAACTCATTTAATCCTTACAACAACCTTTGTCCCCATTTTACAGATGAGAAAACCAAGGCTCAGAGCGGTGGAGGATTATTGAATCCACCTTTCCAGACCTCAGATCCTGGGTGTGGGCCTGGTTACTTTGACAGTCAAAGGAGACAGTGCATATGAAAATGCCTGTTATATACAAAAAGATTATTTTTTTGATTCTTTTTTTATTCAAGTATAATTAACGTAGTTTTATATTAGTTTCAGGTGTATGATATAATGATTCAACAATTCTATGCATTTCTCAGTGCTCAAGATAAGTATACTCTTAATCTCTTTTATCTGCCTCACCCATCTTTCCACTTCCCTCCCTTTTGGCTGCCACCAGTTAATCTCTGTATTTAAGAGTCTGGTTTTTTGTTTACATCCTTTTCTTCTTTGTTCATTTGTTTCGTTTCTTAAATTCCATGCATGAGTGAAATTTAACTGACTGACTTACTTCACTTATTTCACTTAGGACCCTCTAGGCCCATCCATGGTGTTGCAAATGGCAAGATTTCAGTCTTTTTTATGACTGAGCAAAATTCCATTGTATATCTCCTACATCTTCTTCTTTTTCTTCTTTTTTTTTTTTTTTTAAGATTTTATTTTTTATTTGACAGGCAGAGATCGCAAGTAGGCAGAGAGGCAGGCAGAGAGAGAGAGGGAAGCAGGCTTTCCACTGAGCAAAGAGCCTGATGCGGGGCTCGATCCCAGAACCCTGGGATCATGACCTGAGCCGAAGGCAGAGGCTTAACCCACTGAGCCACCCAGGTGCCCCCTCCTACATCTTCTTTATCCATTCCTTTTCAGTGGACACGGGTTGCTTTTGCGTCTTGGCTGTTGTAAATAATGCTGCAATAAATGTAGGGATGCACGTATCTTTTCCAAGTAGTATTTTCATTTTCTTTGGGTAAATACCCAGTAGTGAAATTACTGGATTCTATGGTAATTCTATTTTTTTAAGTCAAAACGATTATTTTTAAAGATAGCTGCTATTTGTAGAGCTCTTACCCTATGCCAGACATGGAGAAGTGTTTGCCATGCCTTTTCTTATTTAATTATGACGATTCTATTAACAGATGCAGAAAGGGAGGCTCAGCGGGTAAGTGACCTGGCCAAGGAAACTAAGCCAGGGTTATAAAGTAGGTTGCTCTAATCCTTAGCCAGTAAACTACACTGTCTGACCTTAGCGATGCAAGTTCTCACCACCACCATCATCATCATCATCACAAAGAGCAATGGGGCATTAGCCAGTAAGGAACTGTGAATTAAAACCGCAATGAGAACCACTCAGTAGGATGCCCATAATTCAAAAAACCAACAAGAACTACTGTTTGGTAAGGATGTGGAGAAACTGGAACATACGTTGCTGGTGAGAATATGAAATGGTGCAGCCGTTCCAGAAATGGGTGGTTACTTAAAATGTTGAAAATAAATTTACTGAATGATCTTTCAGTTTCACTTCTAGGTGCAATACCCAAGAAAACTGAAAACATGTTCATGCCAACACGCATACACCCGTATTCATAGCAGCATTGTCCATTATCCATAATAGCCCCAAACTGGAAATAACCCAGATGTCCACTCCCTCCAAGAAAGGTCCATCCAGACAATGGAATATTACTTGGCCATACAGAGGAAGGAAGTAGAGATACATGTTTCAACATGAGTGCACCTTGCAAACATGATGCAGAGTCAAAGAAGCTAGACAGAAAGGACCACATAGTGCACAATTCCATTTCTATGACATGTCCAGAATAGGCCAATCCCAGAGACAGGGTGAATCAGTGGGTCACCAGAGCTACAGGAGAGCAGAAGGATTGGGAGTGATGGCTCAGGGCTATGGAGTTTATTTTTGAGGTGATGAAAATATTCTAGACTTGATTGTGGTGATGGTTGCACAAGTCTGAATATACTAAAAACCACTAAATTGTACACTTCATTTATTTTTGTAAAGATTTATTTATTTATCTGAGAAAGAGATTGAGTTCGCGAGCAGGGGTAGGGGCAAAGGGAGAAGGAGAGCGTAGAGCTGATAAGCCTAGAGCTGATGTGGAGCTCAGTCCCACAACCTTGAGATCATGACCCGAGCCAAAATCAAGAGTTGGGCACTCAACCGACTCAGCCACCCAGCCTCCCCTAATTTGTTCCCTTTAAATGAGTGAGTTGTGTAGTCTGTGAATTATATCTCAATAAGCTGTTAAGAAACAGACACGAAAAAGAGCAAGGGGGGCCTTCCTGACACTAAAGGACCTAAAGTTACATTGACAAGTCTGGTCCTATTCCTCCCCTCAGCAGTGATGACTCAGACAGATGCCAGGATTATCACCAGGTAGGCCCTGAATCCTTGCCTCCTCCCTTGGAATCCAGGGTGTTGCCCTGTTTCCTACTTTCCCCAGGCATGCCCTGCCCAGCTCACCCTGGCAGGCCTGGGGTAAAACCCAAAGTGTGGCTTTGTCTCTTGTAGCTTCTTTCAGCCGCCAACTGGCACTGTTTCCTCCCGCCTGCAGCTGCTTCCCCACTACCCCAACCCCCTCCGGCCCTAGCTTGTTATGAGAGAAAAAGTCTCAGATTTAAAACCATGAGGAATTCAGGATGTGCACCAGAAGCTGCAACTTGGGGACTTTGGGGCTGTCAACCGCTGCAGACACTTGGGGTCATCCCCACACCCCACTCACCTGATGTAAGAAAAGACCAGCAGGTGCAGGATCCACTTAATGCTGCCATAATTCACGCTCTGGATCTGGAGGACTTTGTTTGTCTCATACTGGAAAATGCATTTCCAGTTGCAGCAGGCTGACATGGTGAGAGGCTCACTCTCCACCAGGGTCTGGACGAGGGCTCAACACCCCCAGACCAGCCACAGCAGGTCCACCAGCAACAGGAAAATGAGAGGCCCTGATTCTTAGCCGCCGCCTTTAAGTTTGAGTTCCTCCAGTGACGGCAGAGTGGGGGCGGGCCCTGGCAGCTGCCCCAGATGTGGCTGGGGATAAACAAGAGAAGCGAAGTCCTACAAGCCTGGCTGGCAGATGACGCTGCTCCAGCCGGCCTCCCCCAGATGCCTGCACAAAGATGGTGTTCAAAGGAAGGGCATTTTTAGCATTCTCCCTTATCCCCTTTTCCCTTTCACTTTTTTGGACTCCTTTCAGTTGGGGGAGAGGGGCAGGCCTTCAAATGTCAGGAGACCCAGTGCTTCCATTGTGCCTTAGTAAAAGGCCTAGATCTTTCTATTGCCTCAAGGCCTACTCATAGACTGACTGATTCATTTCTACAACCCTTTAGTTCAACCCCAGATGTCTATGAATGCAAGGTGAATGGTCTTCCTCTTCTCCCTCTCCACATTTCCTCCACAGCACTCTGGTCTGTTGGTGATGGGGGGAATCAAAATTGCTGGGGCTGGGGCAGGGGAGGACTTTATTTCTATGCTGGATATTTCTTGTGTGACCATTGAGATCTGCTCTTTGCGCTGCCCCCATTTATGCCCATGACCTACGCCAATCAGCCTAAGGCCGTCAGAAACAAACTTGCCATTCAGCAAAATTAGGTTTATTGACTATTTCAGTGAGAAAGAGCTCATGCCAGAGGAACTACCATCAAAGGGACAGAGTATCGTAGGGTTACGGGCAATGGTGGAGTCTTGATTAAATTTGAAAGCAGATTTTGATAAGCTCAAAACAAAGCAGGTTTCTATAAAACAGTCAACCTCAGATCTGGATTGCAACATGGACCCAGGGCTCTGCTTCCTTGTCAGTAATAAAGCTAAGACAGCTGTTGAACGTTGTGCCTAGAAACCCTTTATCTGAACCTCTGGTCCAAAGGTGCAAATTGAGGCCACTTCTGTGTGGCAAAAGTGGAATATTTCATTCTTACTGAGGCAATTTCCAATAGCAGGTTTTCTGATAGTCTATGAATTTAGAGGATGACATTTCTCAAGAATAAAGCAACAGTGAGAGGCACCTGAGTGGTTCAGTTGGTTGGGCGTCTGTCTTCAGCTCAGGTCATGATCCTGGGGTTCTGGGATCGAGCCCTGCATTGGGCTCCCTGCTCAGCAGGAAGTCTGCTTCTCCTTCTGCCAGCTGCTCCCCCTGCTTGCGTGCTCTCGCTCTCTCTCTCACTCTCGTTCTATCTCAAATAAATAAATAAATAAAATCTTAAAAGGAAAAAAAAAGAAAGCAGCAATGACAAAAAAGATGAGGGAAAGTAGTGTTATCCTTTTACAGATACAGTGAAATACTGTTTCCTATTATTTTTGTAGCTGTCTTTATCTATTTCTGCTCTTCCAGCCTGTTAAGTGGCCAAGGTATTTTTACTTTTGCAGTCCGAGTTAAATTTTACTTTTTCACTCAGGTGAACTGTATCAGGAGCTACCTTATCTCTTGGCTGTCAGTTCAGGATGCCAGAGAGCAGGAGGAAGGTGTGATTGAACGCAAATTTTCTTGGCCCTTCTCGCAAGTGCACGTGGTAGGGCTCCTGGCCTTTCTGCTGAACTCATACACTGATCCCTCATGCTCTTCCCTCTGCTTCCTCAGCCCTCTGTCTACTATTTCTCCCACGACTGCTTCCCAGATACTGTTCTTAATAAGCTTACTAGTGAGTTCTCAGTTGCCATATTTAGTGATAGCTTTTATTCCTTATTCTCTTTGACCTTTTGGACCAACACCATGTATCACCTCTTGAGCAGTTTCTTCCCTTGATTTCCGTGACTCCCCTGGGTCCCTTCTTCTAGTTTCTCATCTTTTTTCAAAAAAGATTTTATTTATTTATTTATATATTTAAGAGAAGGAGACAGAGAGAGCATGTGCTCAAGAGAGCGCACAAGTTGGGGGAAGGGCAGAGGGAGAAGCAGGCTCCCCACTGAGCAGGGAGCCCAGAGGTCCCGAGGCTGGATCCCAGGACCCTGGAATCATGACCTGAGCCGAAGGCAGATGCTTACCTGACTGAGCCACCCAGGCACCCCTAGTTTCTCATCTTTACCTCTGTGACTCTTTATCTTATCTTTCTATGACTCTTCTCCTTTTATATGTCAGTTCTAGCAAATTCTGTCTCAGCATTTTTCATATTTCTATCAGTCATGACAAGACAGGTTATGTTGCAATAACAAACAGCCCCCAAATCATGGCTTAAGAACCACAGATCACCCTGGGGGCGCTGATTATCCTAGTCACTCGGAAAACAAAACTAATGGAACAGCCACTATCTTGAACTCTTGAATGAGAAATCTGGCAGGTCTTACAGTGGCAGTTAAATACTCTGAACTTGGGGCACCTGGGTGGCTCAGTTGGTTAAACATTCGACTTTTGGTTTCAGCTCAGGTCATGATCTCAAGGTCCTGGGGTAGAGCCCTGGCTGGGGCTCTGTGCTCAACCAGGAGTCTGCTGGAGATTCTATCCCTCTCTCTCGTCCTCTGCTCCTCCCCCATCCCTCATGTGCACACGCATGCACTTGTGGGCTCTCTCTCTTTAAAATAAATAAATAAATCCTTAAAAAAAAAGATTTTATTTATTTGTTAGACAGAGGGAACACAGCAAGGGAAGCTGTAGGCAGAGGGAGAAGCAGGCTCACTGCTAAGCAGGGAGCCCGATGTGGGACCCGATCCCAGGGCCTGAGCTGAAGGCAGACGCTTGACCTACTGAGCCACCCAGGTATCCCTAAATAAATAAAACTTAATAGAAAATACTCTGTTAACCATTTATATGTCTTCTTTGCAGGATTGTCTGTTCATGCCTTCTGCCCATTTTTTGACTTGATTATTTGTTTTTTTGGGTGTTGAGTTTGAGAAGTTCTTTATAGATCTTAGTTACCAGCCCTTTATCTGTAATGTCATTTGCGAATATCTTATCCCATTCCCTCGGTTGCCTTTCAGTTTTGTTGACTGTTTCCTTTGCTATGCAGAAACTTTTTATCTTGATGAAGTCCCAACAGTTCATTTTTGCTTGTTTCCCTTGCGTTTGGAGATGTATCATGAAAGAAGTTGTTGTGGTTGATGTCAGAGAGGTTCCTTCCTGTGTTCTCCTCTAGGATTTTGATAGATTCCTATCTCACATTGAGGTCTTTCATTCAACTCAAAAGTTTATCTTTGTGTGGTGTAAGACTGGTGATCTGTATTAAGGAGGGCATGTGTTGTAATGAGTATTGGGTGTTATATGCAAATAATGATTCATGAAACACTGCATCAAAAGCTAATGATGTACTGTATGGTGACTAACATAGCATAAAAAAAAAAAAAATACTCTGACCTAGAAATGGTGCACTCCCTTTTGCCTCCAACTCATTGGTGAGAACTAGTCACTTGGCCCCAACTAACCACCAGGGAACCTGGAAATGCAGTCTCACCATATATCCCTCTCTGTGCCCAGAAACAGAAGAAGCAGACATATTTGGTAAATAGCACTAGTAACTTTTGCATTTTCTCCCTGGGAAATTTCATCTACACACACATTCTTTCAAGAATCACCAAATGCTGAAAGAAGAGGGGATGGAAAGAGGGGTACATGTGTATATCATGTGTTTAACTACACATGGAGTATAGCTGGAAATAGGCCTACCACATAATCTGGGGACCAAGTGCAAAATGAAAATGTGGGGTCTCTCATTCAAAATTAAGAAATTCAAGATGGCAACAGCAAAGCATTAAATCAAGCTCAGGTCCCTTCTACATGTGGGTCCTTATGTAAGTGCATGAGTCCCATGTCCATGAAGCTGGCTGTTTCTGGAAGGATGTATAAGATGGCCTCTGGGGAGAAAACAGGGGATTTGTCAGTGTTTGCCAAGCAATTTATTTATCACCTTTCTATGAAGTTTTTCTATCATACTCACGCATTACTTTTTTAAAATCACTGGTAGATTTTAAAAATCTGTATCTTCTGCCCTCTGAGCTCCATGCCTGTATAGTCTGTGAACCTTCAGACCTAAAAATCCCATAGATATTTAAAAATCACATCTTCAGAATGGCATACTTCCCCACAAAATAATAGTGCATGTAGGGACTGATTCGAGGGAGAGAGTAGAGACACGATGTGGACTACTTTTCCTTTAAGATCAGCTTGAGGGTGATTTTTAATAGGAGGTGTAGTTGTCAAGGGAAGATTGGGGGAGTGGATAGTTAAGATGGAAATATTTGAGTCATTCAGAGATGTTCAAAGTGGAATGTCAGGAATAGTGGTTTCTGTTTCTTTGTTAGGTAGGAAGTCGAGTCATGAATAGAATTGGTCTTGGGGACTTAAGTGAATTTCTCTTCTAAGGAGTGTGTGTGTGTGTGTGTGTGTGTGTGTGTGTGTTTCTGGTTACAGGTCAGAAAATCAAGTGACTTTCTTTAGCAGGAAACACTGTTGGCTTACAGAACTCAAGTGCAGGAAACATGGTAAGAGCTTATTTACAGGAAAACTAAAGTGTCCTGCCCTGAGGTGGCTCTTTCGGTTTGTTTGAAGCTGTGTGGTCCCGCCTCTGTCTGTCTCTCTCCAGCCACTGTGCATTTCCCTAAACACAGGATTTCTTTGCTCCTCTGGGGGCATGTCACCAAACAAGGCCATCATGGCATCCACATTAGGTGGCCACAGTTCACATCAGACCCCAGACCAACTGCTTAATTCCAGAGTCCCAGAGGAGTGAATCTGATTGGTTTAGTTATCTGTCTCTGGCCCAGTCACCTAAGGCTGTGGGCAGGGTCACAGAAGAAACCTGGGGTCAGGGGCCTACTGGGGTGAAGGGATAGAAGGAGGTGGAAGGGGGTCGGGGAGGAGAGGGGAGGGGTGGAGGGGGGAGGTGTGAAGAGCAGATGTGAAGGAAGGAAGGAAGGAAAGAAAGTAAGGAAGGGGAGAAAGAAGTACAACTCTCAGAGAGTAGAGGCTCCTAGGCTGCGAGACTCAGATTAAATAATCTGCTCTTCAGGTGGGACAACC